GCTGTTACCTTTCAATGACTGAATCCTAGTTGTAGCTGTTACCTTTCAATGACTGAATCCTAGTTGTAGCTGTTACCTTTCAATGAATCCTACTTGTAGCTGTTACCTTTCATTGAATAAGTCCTACACAATAATGTTACTACTATGTTAGTTTTAAAGACTTTAACTGAATCCTGGACACAGCTGTAGTTATACCCCTAATAAAACTGTTACTGCAACTTCGAATGTACCCTACTTGCGTTAAAAGGTAATACCTTTAAGTGAAAGCTAGCTACAACTGGTAGTTTCTTCATAGTTAATTGTTTTGTGGACTCCTGATAACTTTGACAAGCACTACACTTGATTTTCGAAGAACTTCCCAAGTGTTCAGGGTGGGTAAACCTAGAAAAAAAAAAAACCAGAAATATCACACTTACAAATAAATTACTGTTCACAAGTATAAAACTTTAACATCACAATCTTTCCCAGAATATTTGTATGATAAAAATATAAAACTGTGTCAGTTCATGACTTTACGTCATGTTCATGCATTGAAATGACAATTAAAATAAATTAAGTTTTCGACAGCTGGAAAACATCATTTCTTAAGCAGAAATGTGCATTCTCACTTACTCTCATTTTATTCATGACAGTTTCACTGAAAACATACTTATGTTAAACCATAATACTGTATTATATTTCAGGACAGACACAGAACAATAAAATGTTGCAGTCAATTGGATGGAAAGAATCTGTACATAACATTGATCAGCACAGACAGTCCAACTTGGATCTCAAATTGTTTGAAACATACTATATGGTTGAAACAATATTAAAACATGCATGCAATCTTCCTACTAATTAAGAGATACTGTCAGGTTAATTGCACAATTTTAATATGCCAAGGTAAGAATATCAAGATAAGAGTTACAAAACAATACTTCAAAAGCCTAATTAAATTGTGCAATGAGATTCACTCCACCACTCTCTAATCATAGGGGGACTCATCCTACATTAAACCACCTACTAATCATAGGGAGACTCATCCTACATTCAACCACCTGCTAATCATATACGAGGACTCATCCTACATTCAACCACCTACTAATCATAGGGGGACACATCCTACATTCAACCACCTACTAATCATAGGGGGACACATCCTACATTCAACCACCTACTAATCATATGAGGATTCATCCTACATTCAACCACCTACTAATCACAGGAGGACTCATCCTACATTCAACCACCTACTAATCATAGGGGATCCATCCTTAACCATGTAACTAACATTACCTATTAGGTATAAAGACAAATCTCTAGTTATATTTAAATTTATTCCTTTAATTAAGTAGAAATGGTTAGCCACAACAATCCAGGTCAACTACACATTAAAGACCAGATCTGATAAGAAGTACTTAAAACAATGCTACAGAATGAAGTTAAAGCATGTAAGTGAACAAGTTAGGCACCAACTTTTAAGTCAAAAGTGGCTGCCTCTCTCGAAGTCATTCCATAAGCATGGACAACTTGGTTCAAGAAAGACTATACAGTAGTACATCAAAGTCAGTATTTAATAACTGTACTTATTACAACAAAGACATTCTAAGAAACATGAATGCTTCAAGTATACATAAAAGAGAATTCAGAGCTAGTATAAAACTGGTATGAAAAAAAAAGCCCAAACAGGAACTCCAACATTTGTATCCCAAATTGTGTTGATTTCCCAAAACAACCAGCCAGTGACAATTTGAGTTTCATGAATTGAGCTGCACAGTTTTGTTTGTTTATCCAGAAACAATGAATATGTACACAGCTCATCTACTTACTGGCTAAGTTCACTGTGAATAAAGTGTACTATCTGTAGAAATGTGTTACTACGTATAAAGACCGTTCAATTTCCAGGTATACAAAACATCTACACTGAACTAACAGTGTAATCAACGGTCCTAACAACATTTTAACGACACGGCAAAAGGTAACTTTTAATACTAAGATCTAAAACAAAAAAAATTTCAATAATGATCAACCAGAGTCTGTCCCTATTTTTTTAATTCATCGCAAGCTTATAAGTCTTCAAAATACCACTCCCTGTAGATATTCCACTGCTGTTCAAAATATATTTAATATAAGAACCAAAACCCATGTAGCATAAAAGTGTAAAACATTTTATATTCTCAAGAAAATAAATGAAGTTTCTCAGCAAAAAGAAAAAGCTTCAGACTAAAAATCTTAAGATGCATTTCAAACCGAAAAAAAAAATATATATATATGTTCGATACAATGGAACAAGTAAACAGATATAAATTTAAACTTAAACAGGGAAGATTTAATTGACATTTAACTGGCAACTGATTGGTTGGTAAATCACAGTTATCATAATGTCACTCACCAGTTCTTTACTCAGTTTTTAGTTGTAAATGTGTTTAGAGTAACTACAGAATATCAATGCACAAAACTAAACTAAATAAGGATTTCTAAATTGTGACATGAAAACTAAATATAGTGTGGAGCTTCTGTAATACTGAAGTTTTACTTTTGAAACTGGAAAAATAATATAACAATGCTGTTTAATAGAATTATATTCAAGAGGATAAATCTTTAATTTTATGATACATTACTGCCAATAAAATGAAATATTTAGAAAGTATACGTTCAACTTACCTTTCTAAACAGTCGAGAAGAGAAGTAGGCTCCAGCTCTTTGTTAAGTCCAAAGTCATTCTCTACCCTTTCTGCAACGAACAGGTTTTCACAAGTAAAATTATTTAAAGTCAATCCTTACAAATACATTAATGTGCAGAAATTCTGAATTACAAGTTACAGGGAATTCCTTCCCACAAGCTAGTTCCATAGCAAGAAACAGAACTTCTGAATTACAAGTTACAGGGAATACCTTCCCACAAGCTAGTTCCACAGCAAGAAAAGTTTAACCCTATCGCAACGGGCTTGTTTATTTTACATGGCCTTAAAACCACCACGTAACCATGGTGGTGTACATCCTACGACTCTGAAAGTACTTAATGAATCTTCGTAAAATTTGACGAGCTTTCAGTAAACATTAAGTCTTTTGTAGATAAAAAATCAGAATTTTTAATTTTTTTACTAAAACTTGTCTGTAATTATATGGTGTCAGTGTTGACTACTCCAAGTGCAAAGTGATTTTCATGTTAAGATTAAAGATACTTTTCTTCATATGAAAATTTTAAAATTTCATTTATGTAACCCTAAAACCTTCTGAATAAATATGAAATGTTTTTTTTTCAAATATACTTTATATTTTATCTGTTATTTTCTATACTATAACCATACAAGGTCAATCGATTTGACTGACCTTGTAACCAAGAATATAAAAAATTAGGAAATAAATCTAAATATCCCTTTTTTTACTTTCTGGAATGACTACAAATTGTAACAGGTAACCACAATTGTTTATCTTAAAGTTATAACAGTATACATATGTTTTTATTATTTTTGAACCATGTCTAACTAATAATCCCTCCACACAAGTTATAAATCACTTGGCAAAAGTATAGCTCACGTTACCCTATCGAATTACACAACGCACAAGCTACTCACAAGCATACCTCATGAAAAATTATTATTATTATTTTTGAACCATGTCTAACTAATAATCCCTCCACACAAGTTATAAATCACTTGGCAAAAGTATAGCTCACGTTACCCTATCGAATTACACAACGCACAAGCTACTCACAAGCATACCTCATGAAAAATTATTATTTTTCTTTATCTAACCTAGGAAGTTTCTAACTTTTGTATTTTAGTTATTTTTATAATAATAAATAAAGAATACACATGAAAAACAAGAAATATGGGACTTACCTGTTTTTTTCATTGTTTTTTGTTGCTGTTAACTGTCGATGAAACTTAAGCCTACTTTTTTTTTATACTAATGGTACTACCGCATTAAATAATTTTTCTTTAATTAAGTAATGCATCTAAAAACACAAAAAGCAGACAATGTCCTATAACTATCACAATTTTTCTGGCTTTCTAACTATGCAATAAGAGATATTAAAAATTCAGCTAAGCTCGTCGACGTGTTTCCCATGAGAATAAAGTTGGAACTGAAAGAGAAACTGATAATCCTCTGTACAGAAAACAATGCAATATATCATTTAATAGATTAAAACTTTGGCTTTCTATTAGTTATAAATAATATAGTATCAAATATCAGAGAGAACTATTGGTAATTTGTGAAAGAGAGGATGTAACAGGTGTGGCAAGAGGGGTCTGATTTTCTAGTTTATGGCTCCTTAAACAAATAAGATTGAAGGCTATAAAAATTATGCCTCATTTGAGTAATACCTATGCTGGAATAAGTAATGTACATTAAATTCTGTACATGTGGCAAATAAATTAGAGAAAAGGGAAGACATAGCAAATGTCACAGTTTTCACACTAAGGGAAATTGAGGGTTTTTTAAAATATTTCCTTAAGAATTTAAAACTTAAATAATATTAAAATTTTATTTATTAACTATAATCTCAAGCCAAGTTTATTCATATACATTGATAATCAAGTAGTTTAACTCTTTCAGCACAGGCTTGGTTCCTGGGACCAACCTCGTAACCTTTTTGTGCTTGCTATACTTTTCATGCTATAACTTTTAAATTAGTAAGTGAATGTTAACGAAATTTGGC